ATGAGGACTTCGATTTCATCTCAGGAACCCGCATGCGCAGGATGGCCCGTGAGGGCCAGGACCCCCCGGAAGGATTCATGGCACCCAAGGCCTGGGCGGTGCTGAAGGAGTACTATAAGAATCTGGAGAAGGCCTAGGGCCCCTCCGGGGGGGCGGACGGGGACCACAGGGGGAGACGGGGCCATTTCTACGCTGTTCCCACACCTTACGTCGCAGATTTCAACCGATGCTTCGCACGACCGTCACCCTTCCTTTCCCAGGCGCTTGGATTACCGTCTCTTTATGAAATTGTTTCAGAAAAAGCCGTTTGGAAAATGTCCAGAAGCCCCGTGTCTTCCGGTGTTTCCGGTGTCGCCAGAATGAATCTGAAGTCGTGGTACCTTGATGATACCGGCTGTCACGGCCTGTTTACTGTCTGTTACTGTCTAATCTGAGTCGTATGAACAAAGAGCTGCCATGTGAAGGAGCCTTTACACGCTGTGGGTTAGGGTAGCTGCCTTTTTTTGGATTTAACCTGCGGTTTTCAATGATAAATGGAAAATTTAACAGTAGGTATCTAGGTACTGTCCAGGCATCAAGCTCCCCGATGGGCCGGTACCACTGGGGTCGGTGCCGTGGGCAGAGAGGGGGCAGCCATTGGGTCATTGTCTCATTCAGCACAGTGCAATGGCTAACCCTGAGAAATGGGGAGGAGCATTTTTACAGGTATTTAAGGTAACTTTGATTTCTGTCACTTCTGTCAGAGGTTTGCTCCTTTCACTATTCACTTTAAAGCTTATTTTTATGTTAATGACTCAAAGCTGTCCTGTTAATGTGCTGTTTCATTACTTTTTAATAGCAATTTGTAAAATTCATATTTATCAGACGCTTATTTAAGGTGTTGCTGGCTTGTTTCTTAACCTGTGGCTTAACCCTGTGTTAATCTATTTTTCCTGAGTATTTGTCAGACTGTCAAGTATAATACTGTCACAACCTACAGTTATCAGTGAAACTGGTCTGTTTTTTTTTGATGTTTTTACTTAATCTGTCTTTTTTTTTTTTTTTTTTTCTTCTTTCGTTTTAGTTTGTAATACTACCGTACTTCTCATTTACAGCCTGTTCTTAACCATTGTACTGTCTCCATTAAACCATTCCTGGTCAAAGCAGATGTGCTGGTCCTGTGATTAGGAGGTCGCTGGATCGAATCCTGGACTCGGCAGAGTGATGTCACTGTTGGGTCTCCGAGCCAAAGCCCCTAAACCCTAATTGCTTCTGGGGCTGATGCCGTTTTCAAAAAACATTGGATAAAAGCGCATACTGAATAAATGAAATGCAAGTAAGCCAACGTACTGTTGAGTACACCGGAGCCCCCCCCATGCAACACCCCTCTCCCCCCCCCCCCCCCCCCCCACCCCAGTAAATTCCGGTTCTGTGGAACTTGTGGCTTAGATTAAGCTAGGAGCCAGATGAACCCCATCTGTTTCCCAGATGCCGTTTTATCCGTGGAGACAGGGTGCGAGGGGTTAATCCCGGACCTTAATCAGGCGGCCCTTTTAAGGGCGGCCGGCAGATTTCTTAATCTGACGAAACGGGCGAACTCTTAGAGCGATAAGTCACAGTGACCTTTGCAGAATCCCGATAGATCTCAGATACTAATCACACTTGGGCCCCCACCACTGCCTCAGATGGTGGGGGTGCTTTGGAAAAGGCTCTGTTTGCTCCATCCTCTTGGTCATTCTACCCCCCCCCCCCACACACACACACACACACACACAAATCATTCATAGTTACTTGTCTTCGTTTGTACATGATCTATAAGCAGGGCTCATGTTGTAACGAGACACATGTGGATGCTATCCCCCCCTGTGGGAAAAAAAATGAGAAAAACCATCACTTCTGAAAATATACCGTCGCCCCCACCCCCCCCTGAACCCTTCTGTGTAATTTCACTTGTATAAAGGTAAATCTACTATCAAGGGTACTCAACTGGTGGACTCCAGACTGAAGCACAATTTAATCAGAATTATGTGATTTCCATCTCCCCCACCCCAAAATAAATTTGACC